TGGCTCATCCTGCTGCTGCAGCACCTCTGCCGGGGCCACCCCCAGTGCTGGGGAGGGCTGGAGGTGACAGGGAGAGGACGAGCTCCGCAGTCACCTGGCTCCCTCCTGGTGCCGTGCCTGGGAATCTCCGGGACCCGCTGATCCCCGCCTGTGCAATCCCAGCTGCACAGCTTGCTCTGAGGCAGCAGGGTGTCCCCGGAGGGGACAGGTCTTGGCAGGGGCACTGGGACAGGGAGGAGGTTGTGGCTGCACTGAGACCTCTCCCAGCGCACAGGTTGGGCTGCCGTGCTCTGTCCCCGTTCCCATGCAGCCCTCAGGATGTAGGAAGGCAGGAGGAGAGTGAGGGGCCCTGCAGGATCAGCGCACTCCTGCCCAGGGAGAGACCCAAGGGACCCTGATGCCATCTGGCTGCTGTGGCACCCGGGGACCTTTGCAACACTTTCCCAGTGCAGAGGATGCTCTCCCTGAGCCACAAACATCTCCAGGAGGACACAAAACCAGCTGCCTTGAGCCCTGGCTGCCCCCAGCACCCACATCCCCACCCCAGTAAAAAACAGATGGGTGGATGCATACAAACCCCAAAAACCTAAACCTCTGGGGACCTCAGCCACACACCTTTTCTCTTGCATCCTAAGCCAGCAGCCAGCTCGGAGGTACCAGGTGACCTGGCCTGGACCACAACCCAGTGCCACGCACCCCCAGAGGCACCAGGCTGCAACCTCCGCCCCCCCTCCCCCCCGCCCTGTGACACCCGAGGCAAAGCCGGCTCTCCAGAGACCCTACGCGTTTGCCCTGGGCACGCTGTAAGACAAGGAGATGAGCCCCAGAGACAGCACCTACCAGAGAAGTTCCTGGTGGCCAGCATGGTGGTGAGGATGGCTCCCTGAAAGACACAGAAGGCAGAAGGAAAGAGCGTGCTGGGCCCCGGCCCCCCACACCCCTGCTGCTCCCCCCAGCCCTGGGGGAGGAAAGCCCTGCTCATCACCTGTCCCCCGGCCACCTCGGTGGAAGGAAACCGGCCCACGGGCTGATATTCTGCTCCTGTCATCAAAAGCAACCCTCAGTACCCGACTCGGTATCCCCAGCGCCAGGGCGTAGGGTTGCATTCTCCGAAACTGCTTTCCCTCCAAGATTAAAAGGATATTAAATATCTCCAGGGCGCGTTTCGGTCTTGTTCTACCCTGCCCTAGTTGTAGCATGACTCCACTGACCAGGGCCAGCAGCTGGCAGCGAGGGGAGCGACCAGGAGCGGAACCAGATTTAATTGCAATTAAAGCCATGCCAGCTAAGAGCAGTGGGGCAGGGATTTTTCATGGGAGCCACGCAAAGATCACCACCACAAAATAACATTCGTAAAAATGCTTCCCCTTTTCCAGCTGACTCCACTAACTAGTTGCTCAGTGTATAATGAGATTACTTTGGACTAATTGCTTACAGTAATGGATTACTATTTTGAAGTGTATGCCTGAACTAATTTGATTACTTGTCTAGCTGAAGAGTAATAATAGTTTATAGCCAGTTTCTTTTCTTGCTAATCTTGTTAGTAGCCTGCAGCTGTACTGCTCTGTGCCACATCGCGTTCAGGCCTGGAGCGCTGATGGGTCTGACTGCGGCACAGATCAGCGCCGTCCCGTTCTGCGTCTCCGGCTCTGGAGGAAGCATTGCGATTTCCAGAGCCCGTTTCCCAGCGCCGTGCTGGTGGCTGGGGCTGAGCAGCACCTGGGAGATGGGTGCTTCAGGGAGGTGCTCCAGCTCAACGGTGAAGCCTGGGGAGATGGTGATTTCAGAGGGGGTACATGCTGCGGCACAAAGCAGCATCTGAGAAGGGAAAGCCTGTGGGGCTGCTGGTGCGGGTGAGCCTGAGATTTTTGCCTGTCTATGGATGACTTTGCTCCTTAGCTGCAAAGTGGCTTGGTCGTCAGGCAAAGGGGTCTCACTGTGCCTTTCCAATCCACGTCCTGACCCAAAGAGGAGCTTTCTTTACACTGACTCCAGTGGGAAAGTCCTCGCCCCAGTGTCCAGGGCAGCTGTGTGACCCAGTGCTTTCCTTCACCATGGCCTTCCTCTAAGCACAGGGGAACCCCAGCCAGATGCAGCTACCACTCCACTTGGCCTCTTTTCCCTTCTTCATAACAGGCATCCCCAAATGTCCATCACCCCCATACCACTGATCCAGAGACACCACCCTGTCCTTTCCCATTCGGGGAACAAACTCCCAAATAACCTTATCATGCATTTTGCAGCCACCTTGGAGACTACGAGAGTTACCTTCAGCTTCCTCCGGGCATTGAACTTCTTCAGACAGTCCACTGTCTCCTGCCTGTGCATGCATGACGCCACGGTGGCACGGTGCTGGGAGGAGAGAGACCTGGCTCAGAGCAGGTGCCGAGGGGGAAGGGGGTCCCCCGGCCCTGTTCTCACATGGACACACACGTGTGAGGTCTCCCGTGGCCGAGGCGCGGGCCGGAGCTGCCTGCAGCAGCAGCAGATAAAACTTTAATAGGCAGCAGGAGATCACAGCTCTGGAGTCAGCAGGATCTACTCTGGTGGGGGGGTGGGGGGAGGTTGCAGGGAGAGCTGGCTGCCCCCTGAGTTAACCCCTTGAGGGCCCAGCCATGTTTAGCTAAGAACGTGGATGACTCCTGCCTTTAGGAGCTGATTCACAGTGAGCACCGGCAGCCGGAGCAGCGGGGTGCAGCAAGGGGCGGGGGGATTGCTGCTGGGGTGTGTGGATGGCTCAACATGAGCATGGTCCCACCACCACTGAGGAAAAGCCCCCCCAGCACAGCATGACACCAAGAAACCAGTCTGTCCCCACCAGGGCTGGGAACATGTGTGTCCCTCCCATCACCAGCTCCCCTAGGACATGCTGTTTGCATTCACACTCCGGGCTTTTCTCTGCTGTAAAGCCTCAGGGAAAAGGCTGCTCCGAGAGCACTGGGAGGAACCATGCCAGGAAAGCATCTTCCCAGGATGGAGAAAAGAGCTGGACAGCATGTTTGATAACATGTGCTCCCCAGTGAGATGTTCCCCCCTTGCGAACACCCACATCTCTACATCTTCAACCCCAACTGGTCAGTGCCACCAAACTCACCGATATCCAGGGGTGCTTCAGAGCCTCCGCTGCCGTGATGCGCTTAGACGGGTTTATGGTCAACATCTTGTTGATGAGATCTTTCGCTTCAGGAGTGACCGTGTCCCACTCAGGGGACGGGAACTGCCAAAGCAAAGGAGCCAGGGTGAGAGATGGCAGGGAACAATGGAAGGAGCAGAAGCCCCTTTGTGCTTGAGTTGGTTCTCCTGCAACCCTTTTCTCCTGCCCATGGGACAGGTTGGAGAGACAGTAGCAAGTGGAAAGAGCTGCCAGCTGGAAAACTGGAGAGCAGGGGTGGAGGAAGAAAGGTGCAAAGCCCAGGATAAGACCTATCTGTCCTGCAAAGTGGACCTGAAACGCGCCAGTGTGTGCACCTGAGCATGGCAGCTTGGCCAATCCTCTGTGACCAGAGCAAAGAAACCCACTTCCATCTGTGTGAATTTGTCCTGGTTGCTCTTCTGGAGCAGCAGACTGCAATGTGGGGACAGCAGGAAAGAGGGGAAACCGTGAAAGGGGAGATCAAGACAAACCCACTCACATCATAAGCCCCAGCCTTGATCTGCTGGTAGAGTCGGTGCTGGTCTTCATCCCAAAAGGGCGGGTACCCGACCAGCAGGATGTAGAGGATGACGCCTGCCCGGGAGAGGGAAAAGACATGTGGGATCAGTGGGAGAGAGTTCATTGCTGGAGGTGTGAGCAGACCCAACCTGGGGACTGGCCCAACTCAGGCAGAGAAATTGAGAAATTAGGGAAACGGGAGGATTTGCTCGCTGATTAAAAAGCAAAAGACTTGCTGGTGGGTCTAGCCCCACGCCGACATGCTCAGCGGCTGGGGAGATACGTGGCTAATTCAGACACGTGGCTCTGGCAGCCACCATGCACAGCCTCAAGCCGGGTGCCCTGGCAGCGCTGGGCGATGCCTCGTCCCCATCGCGGGTGAAGAAGGCTCCCCTGCGGCTGCAGCTGCACGGAGCAGCCTGACTCCAAGGGCACCACAGGGCAAAAGAGACAGCATGTCCCCTGCCTGGGGGTTTTGGGTGCATAGCAAGGAGGCTGATCCTTCAGAGAAGGGGGCCACTGCACTGGGAAAGAGGGTGCTGCTCTAGGGACAGTCCAGGGTAATGTGCCACCTCTCGGGTAAATCCTCCTCCCTGACCTCCCCGAGATGTCTCTAGCAACAGCAGCTCAGGACAGGCTGGATCAACAGCCTGCCTCATCCTGCGCAGCCCAGCCCAGCCTGCTCCCGGCATTTCAGCCCTGGTCTGACTTACCGCAAGCCCACAGGTCCACGGCTTTGCCATAGGGGTCCTTCCGGAGCACCTCAGGGGAGAGGTATCCTGGGGTGCCAGCGAAACCTGGGACAGACAGCTCGTCACGCACTGCCGGCAGGCAGCCCCCATCCCCGCACAGATTGCCTGGGGCCCAGCCAGCCACCGTGAGAGCTGAGACCCCTGGCACACACAGAGCCGGTGGGACGAGCACCCTCCCTCCAGAAATCTCTGCAGCTCCCAAGAGCAGAGCAAACAGCAACAGCCAGCGACAGCAGCCAAACCCCAGGATGGTGCAGAAGGCTGGTGTGCTCTGGTGTGCACCTCTAGCACTTGGACAAGGCTTTCCTTCCCTGGGTCTGCCCCTGCCACCAACTCGTGCAGCTCACCAGGACATCTCGGTGACCCACCGAGTCCCCGTGGAGCTGTTTGCCTGTGTCCTGGATCAATACCGGGTGTTTCCAGGGGCACAGCCGGAGCCATCCAACTCCTGCTCATCCACCATGCCTCCTAGGCTGGTGCTGCTGGGGTGCTGCCATAGCCCAGGGTTCAGGTCCTGGGGATGTGTGACCCTCCTGGAGCCCCCCATGACCAAACACACCAACGAGGGCTGGAAGATGCCCCACCTTGGGCCAGTCCTACTCACCAAACCACGCTTGCTGGTCCCCCTCCACCTCGATGGCAAGGCCGAAGTCAGCCAGCTTGACGGCGGCACCCTTCAGCTTGGATGCCAGCAGCAGGTTCTCAGGCTGCAGGAGGAGACAGGGGTTGGAGAGGAGCAAACCCCCCCAGGGGCTCTGCTGTCCTGGGGCAGAGGAAGGTCAGGGCTTTGAATGTGCTACCCAACCAGTTCATCCTGCTGTGTGTTGCCATATCCATGGATCTTTAGAGGACCACGGACTACAAGGACCTCCCCACCCACTCTCCCTCATGCTGTTTCACCCCAGAGCTGATCTTTGCTCTGCGGCTTTCCAGAAGCCCTACATGGTGTTCCTCCCCGCTGTGTTTCAGCTGCCCTGGAGGACCCTGGGCATTGCTCCACAGGGTTTTGCATCGCAGATGGGGTCCTCACATCCTCCCACAGGCTCTTCCCCTGCAGTTCCTACCTTCAGGTCCCGGTGGACAACCCCCATCTGGTGGCAGTGCAGGACGGCCTCCAGGATCTGCTGGATGCAGTGGCTGTGGGAGAGATGAGAAAACTCACAGAAGTGTCCAGCAAGGCAGAGTTTACTTAGACACTTCTACCTGGCTGCATTTCACCCCTCCTGCCTCTCTCCCCATCCTGCTTCCCACCAGCAGCCCTGCAGCACAGCTCAGCATCCCCCTCCACCAAAAGCCACACACCCGTGGAGAGCAGCTATAACCCAGCAAGACCCCACCAGAGCTCCTGGACACCCAGCCATGGCGAGCAGGAGCACGGGGGCTATGGTGGAGCCCATGGGGTCCCCAGAAAAGCAACCCTGGGGATGGGGGGAAGCTGGAGACCAGCGGTAGAGTTGTGATGCCAGCCCAGATTTGGTCTCCAGACTCAGGCAGAACAGATGTGCTCCTCAGACGTAGAGCTAAGCTTCTCTTTGGCCCCATTTCCCTGGCCTCCTCTAACGTGGGTGGCTCTCACTGTGTCTGTCCGCTTTATATCTAGTTCATTAAACCCCAGCTCTGCTGCATGCGTGAAAAAGGAAGGGAAAAAGACTGAGGCGATGATCACTTCTGCTCCAAACCAGCTGTGTACAAGGCAGAAGGTCTTTATTTACATGTATTTTATTTGATTTGTATGTCACTAATAGGTGGATGGGTTGTAAGTGGATTCAGTGCGAGCAGCCTGTTAAATGAGATTACTTTCTGCCTAGAAATAAGGGATATTTCCATGCAGACAGAGGTAGCACGGAGCTTACGCACAGGGGCAAAGCCAAGAGGTACAGTGCTATCTGGAGACTGGAGAGGGCCAAATCACATCCCTTCAATAAAATGAGACTAATGCTGTCCCCTGGCCGAGCTGCAAGGACCAAAAGGGTGGCTGAAACGGTACCCGGCCCACTGCCTCCACAACAGGGTACCTGGAAAATGCCAGTGGGAGCGTGGGAGGGAGCAGAGCTCTAGCACATCCTCCCACCCAGCCCGTCTTGACTGCTCCTCCTTAGTGCTTTCAAGCGGTAAATGCCAGAGAAACGCTTGCAAATGACTGTAATACAGCTGCAAGGGGAAAGGGTGAGGGCTGCCCCATGTCTGTGCTATCATGCTCCTGGCTGGGGCACCAGTCTGATGCTGGGCTTCCTCCCTGCCAGCCTGGGGACCCTCGCTGTCCCCTGCATGGAGACCCCCGATGCCTTGCTCCTTTACAGGGAGGTCAGGCGTGGGCTGTGCCATCGGCCCGGGGAAGGAGGATGCCGCGAGCGAAGGCTGGCAGCTGCCTGGTTTGAGGGGGAGACCAGCCCTGCGATAACACACATATTTCTTGGCACAGGAGCCGAGCGAGTTAAAAAGAGCTTTTTTTTTTTTTTTTCACTACACATCTGGTTTATGAGTACGTGCTGCAGAGTGGCTGTAAAACACCTCCCAGCACAGAAGGAGCTTATGCTGCAGAAAGCCAGACATGTTGGACCCTGGGAGGGAGCAGCTCGTGGGAGAAGGGTCCAACTGCTGTCTCCTCCACGGCCCGGCGTGTGTCCGTGCTCACCTTGCATCTGCTTCGCTGTAGTACTCCCTGGCCACAATGTCCTCAAACAGCTCCCCGCCAGTGACCCTGCGAGAAAACAGGGGAAGTCACGCTCGGCCATCTCAGCACGGCACGCAAAGGAGCTGGATTGATTTACAGCACGCTCAGCCCTGGCAAACCCCCCTGAAATACCACTGCACCCTGCACAGGGGGAGCCGCGGAGGTGCAGGGTAGGGACCTGCCCTCTGCCTGGCTTGGGGGACCCAAGCTTGGTTTAAATCCTGCCCAAGAA